TACTTTTCTTTTATTTTCAATCTTTTTTTCTGAGAAAAGTAACAAAAAGCACTGTGTTGAGGAGAATGTGCTTCCTCTATCATGACTATACCCTTTACCAGTAAACACTTGATGGACAGATTTTCACCTTTCTAGTGCTGAAACTTTTTTTGACACCCATCTACAGATACAGCCACCCCCCACTTTGAGTACGGTACCTATGCCTTCTCTTGGGGCGTATCTGCTATCGACTGTGAACACACCCCTTTCGCTCAATTCCAGTGCCACCAAGAGATGGCACTTTCTTCACAAAAAGTTTGACTTCTTTAGTTTACAAATGTTTTGATAGTATTTCATGTTGGAATAAGCATTCTTTGAAAATGGAAAATACATCAAATTTTAATCAGACCTTTCACACATTTTCCACTGTAAATTGCCAAAATCCAATGTATCCAAGAGACTCGTGGAACTAAATTTTTTAATATATTTTTTGATTGGTTAACACTTGCTCAGTTCTGAAAAGTTCATTTTTGATTTACCCTGTAATTTTTTTAAAACTTGATATTGGCCAAATGTCTTGAGCCACCATCTTTTTTTCTTTCACCTGCTGTAATGTTGTTTTTGAGTGCTCTCCAGGCTTTAATAGTTGTTCATTGGACATTGGCTGCTTTTTAAATACTTTTCAGTCCAGTCTTTGTACATCAAGATCTTCAGAAGAAGGTTGTTTTTTTTTGTTTAATCCATATGCTAAACTATTATTCCTTAAAAAGTACCTAACAACAGGTCTTATGGAGTGATAAATACAAATGTCTAAATTTCTGATTGAAATCGCTGTTTTATATATGGTAGAGGTTAGAAATGAGGCCTAACAGTGAGTGTCTACAGCCAAAAACATGGTGCAAGCTAGGGCTGGGTGATATGGCCCAAAATTCATATCTCGATTTTCTTTAGCTGGATGGCAATATACAATGTATATCGCGATATTTTTTTTAAAGCCATAAAGTAAGAACAAAAAAAGTGCTCTTAGTCAAAGCTGTGTCCCAGATGTCACACAGGCACTTTTATTAACATACAGCGTAGATGTACATGAAAAAATTACTCAGAAATAAATTAGCAACATTTATTAAATAATAATGCTCCATGAATAAAATAAAACAATGTTGTTTTTGTGCATAACAAAAAGCTCACAATTGTGCATTCAAAATGTAAACTAAAAGACGCTGAGCATAATAACAAGGACAGATTTTGCAGCTGCTGTGTTCCCAGGTTCTACTGCGTGACTGACAGCCTTGTTTGAAATCCACTTTGCAACCTGTCCCTTAACAGATCCCACTTGTGGTCCCTATACACACACACACACACACACACACACACACACACACACACACACACACACACACACAATACGGTAATATTACGGTGAATTGAATTATAACGTAACCTAGACTATATCGATATAAACAATATTGTCACATCTCATATCTCTTATAAAAACATATCGATATATTTAAAAACTAGTGCAAGCTCTATCATGGTTTGGGACAGTTCAGCCAGTGGTGTTGGGAATTTCGTCAAAATGTAGAAAAGTGCCATCAGATTTTAATCCACAATGCAAAACTATCTGGAAAGAGTCTGATTGTCAACAGTTTAATTTTCCAGCATGGCAATGATACAAACTGCACTCCCAGTTCAATAATAGCATTGGCAGTGTGAAAAACAAACAGCAGGAAAAACACACAATGGAGTACCATCACTCATGGACTGGCCTCCACAGAGCCCAGACCTGAACATTATTGATTCACTGTGGGAGCATCAGAGCAAAAGGCAGGCAACACCCAAAGAAGAGCTTTGAGTGGTCTTCAAGACGTCTGGAAAACTGTTCCTGAAGACTTGGCTTGGCTAAGAGAGTTCAGGCTATGTTAAAGAATGAAGGTGGTCATAATAAATATTACTTTCAAGCTAACATTAACATTATAAACTGTATTAACATGTTTTTCTCTGCCTCTTTCAATTAATAGCTTCACTTATTTTTCTAGCAAAATATAAAGAATTTAGTCGTAGCTCCAACTTTTTGCACAATGTAATTAACATAATGTGAACCATGCAAATGAAAGTGTATTAGACCGGTGTTTACTTAATGGATGTAGGAGAGTGTGTGAAGGTTCAGCAGGGAGAGCATGTTTGCAGTCCACTGGCCTGTCTGCCTGCACTGAGCTCTGATGTCAAATGGAGGCATTGCACAAAGTATGTGGTACAACCACTCTGTGGGTCGCTCTTGCTTGTGCTGTTGTTGGTCCATCATCCAGGCTCAGAGAAGAGTAAAGTTATAACATCCAAAGAGCTGAAGTGAAAGTTGAAGTGTGCTTTTCATGCTGTTTTTTTTTTTTTTAAGTTTTTTTTTGTCCCTGTGTCGGTGAACTCTGCTGTCGCTCCGTTCCCTATTCTGGCCCACTTATTACTATTCAACCATTCAGCATTCAGCAAACACATATGTCATCCACTTCGTGCAGTTTGAATTTTAGAGGACTGCATGGGAGTACGTTTGCAGTGTTTAATAAATGAACTAAAAAAAGAATTTAATAGAACAGGACTGCCAGTAAGTGGTTAATTGCTATGTCAATGTGTGTTAACATTCATGATGACTGTTTAATAATTCAATGTTGTTGGAACAGGAACTTCACTGAGCCCCAAAAAACATTTTCTAAAGGTCGGGGTGTCAGTCTTTAAGATGCTTTGCCAAGTTTGTTGTGTTAAGTATTTGTACTGGTGACATGCCAATTATCAACACAGGCTAAAGATGAAAAGCCTCTAGCATCACTCATAAATTCTGATGTACGTGAGACCTGGTGTGTGGGGTTTCTCCCCTCCTTACTGTACTATCCAATATACTATTCAATTTCCCCCAAAAACTTGGGAATATTGGAAAGTCCAAATCTTCATAACCACCCTCAAGCTGCACCCTCCCCACATTTCTTGACTTTTGTGTGCAGCCAGGAATCTTGGTGGATCGTACACCATCTTTGTGCATGCTTTTGTTTGTGTGTTTGTGCATGGTGCTGTGTGCAGAGTAGAGAGGTACGGTAGGGCAACACGGCATGGTTCAGGCCAGGAATGTGCGGTGTGTGTGTGTGTGTGTGTGTGTGTGTGTGTGTGTGTGTGTGTGTAGGCTGTACAATAGAACCTGGCTCCCTGGGGGTGGTCAATGGGATGGGTTTTACCCCCTGCTGGGTGATGAGCACCACATAACGCTGTAGCTGTCAGCTCCTCTTAACCACTGCTGTAAACACATGTATTATGAGGGCACATCAATGCACATGTACACACTAGAACATACGGGAGCACACAGACGTGTTAAAGGTGTGTTATAGATAAGAAATTACAGACACAGCACACATACATGACTACAGACACACGCACACAGTTCAGTACTGTGTTTGTACAATTCTAACAAGTTTGAAAGTCAATATGATCACCTTTATTCTTCAACACAGTCTGTGCTTTTTTAACAAAGCTTTCTTGTAAGTAGTCTTCAGGAATTTTCATTTGTTCCATTATGAAGATCTTCCCACACTGCTTCAGTTGTGCTGAGGTCTGGGCTCTGGAGAGGCTAAACCATGACCAATAGTGTTCCATTGTATGTTTTTCTACTTTTTGTCTATTGTCTAGTAAAAAAGTGCCTAAACAATTTCAAATTGGTTAAATGCTCAGTTGTCTGTTCTGTGATGATATAGCACTGGTTCATTACGGGTTGGGTTAGGTGCTATTTCTGTGCTTGAGTGATTCATGGTTTTGTCGCTTTATAAAAATGATCCGCTGATAAGTTGTCTGTTCTATGAACAGTCAGGTAAGGACTTGACTATAAATGAATGATAAAGGAGCCAAAGAAAAACTTTGAAAGATTTGATTTGTTGCAATAGTTTTGTCCAGTTTAAGGTGGAAAGAACATGTTTTTTTAACAGTTCAGTTAACATCAAAAGTATTTGTGCCAAAATAAATTTGTGAAAGCCTTTTTGTGTCATGTGTTTAGCGCATATCGGTGCATGTCAAATTCTCATAAAAGCAAATGTTAACATGCTCAAAGTAAATTCCAGCATATTAGCTTCATTAGCTCATCAATGCAGATACCGGTACATTTGGAGTTCTGCATGCATGTACAGACCTCTGTGCATCTTTGCACAGAGGTCTGTACATGCAGACCACACTCAGATACACTCTCTGTTCACATGACTGAAGCACAGAGCATGCCTGGCATTGAGATCAGTATTGGGAATGCTCAACCTTGGACTTGGCTGGTATGCTAGCTTGCACAGGTTGATCACAGAGGCCACTGAGGGAATGCAAAGATGAGCGTGAGTAAAAAAAAGTTCATACGGTCTCTCGGAAACACAAGTTCATGGACACCAGGATTTTGGTGCTGGTTTTCATTAGGATTGACTTCATAGTTCATGGTCATTCATCATCATTGTCATTATCAGGGTGACAGGTAGTGCAGGTTTTCAGTTGCTGTAAACACAAGCCACCCCCAGACGCTTTACCACCCATACCAGTGCTCTCTTTCTTTACCCCAGTGCTGCTTCAGTGTTGTGTGCTTTCCAAAAGCTTACGAGAGCTTTAAGTACACACATGTACAAGTGCACGCACAAAGCTGGCTTTGTGCCCTGATCTGTCATCTGCAGACACACATGATGAGGAATGAAGCTATGTAATTGCATTTGGCCTTCACTAATGGGTGCACAAACAAAGGTCCTGTGGCTGTAACAGGAATCATCATTTACAAAACAGCTTTTCTGCTGATCAGTCTTATCATTCAGCTCCCCCTAGTGAGCTCAGAGGAAGCTTGCTTTCAAAGTGGAGTTTGCAAATTACATTATGACTCAAGTCAAAGCTGTTGACTAGTGAGCTGAGTAATGTTTCAAGTTCAGCTTGACTGGGTGGTGTTTGGTTTGTTATGTGACTATGATACTGCATTGACTGTCTTATTTATTAATTTCTCTTTTTTTTTTTTGCTTTCTCTTCCACAGCACAGTAAAGATGCGAAGCAGTATTTCCCACTCACCACCAACCATAGCTGTTGGGACTGGGTGAGCACCAGAGTGAAGGAGAGGAGCATCTAAAGAAGAGGCAAGAAAGATTTTCACTAACAGGTAAAATGAGGGTTTATAAGAAGTGTGTGCAGTGTTTCCACAAGCTTCGAGGCAGCTGGTTTCAAAGCTTGTATGTTCTGTCTCACCCCAGATTTTGGTTTACCTCGATGTTTCCTGTGGCTCATTGGCTCTTTCTGTGATCAGATCTGTGTTGTCTTCTTTTTCAACAACCCCTGACCTGCAACTTCCCAAGTTGAGCCTGGGAGGCAGGGGAGCTACAAGTGAATTTTCATGGCAGCGGCACTCTAGGGCTGCCATGGCAGCTGCTGCCGCCGATGCCTCACACCGTATTACCGCACTGACGCCGGAGGAAGAGGGACGACGGACTGCTGCCAAGCTGTTTGGGAGCGCCGCCCCACTGCCCCTGACAGAAAGAGAGAGAGAGCGAGACAGGGAGAAAGAGAGAAAGAGGGAGGAAGGAGGAGAAGAGGTGGGGAGAGCAAGTGGGAACGAGTGTTTGGTGTGTGGGGCTCTGTTCACCTCACCAGAGAAGCTCCGGCTCCACGCCTTGAGTCACACAGGAGAGAAACCCTTCCACTGCTCACATCCACACTGTCCCAAGGCCTTCAGCTCCAAATACAAACTCTTCAGGTACAGAGCCTTGATTTACATAGTTCAGTTTACATCCTTTTGAATACAGTGCAACACATTCAATTCAATTCAATTCAATCTTTATTGGCAGACTTCATGTCCATAAAAACAAGACAAGAAACAAGAAACACACACACAACTCCCCCCCCCCCCCACCCCCCACCCCCCACAACACAAGGTATAAACCATTAAATATATATATGTATATAAATAAGTATATAAAGCATTTGTAAACATGTCTGTTTCATTTAGGTATTTGAGTAAATGTACCAAGTTTGGTACATAGATATGTAGATCTGGACATGCCCCTTGCTCTTAGACAGATACAGACACTTTCCACTTATCTGGTGATCAGAGTTCTGACTAAAGGTTAGGGTGGTTTTCAGAAGATATAACATTCCAAACCCAAAATAAGCTTGCACTAGCCTAATTTCGTAGCAGGACAGTCAAAAAATCACAATGTCACCTTGAAAGATTGACATGATCTCCATATATATAAAATACCGCAAACCTGTTGTACCTGTTGCTTAGTTTTGGCACATTTGCACATTTCACAAGCCCAGCCTCAGCATCTTTATATATCTATGTGAGCTTTATAAGGTGGTAAACTTGTTTCCAGCCTCACGTGGCCAGAAATTCATTTTTAAGTGACTAAATTCACCACCGTGTCAGTGTGTCTGGTGTATCAGAGCAACTGGTTCCAAAACCCATTCTGGTCCTGCCTGGAAGCCACTGTGACTCGTGTATGTATTTGTAGTTACAAAGGATTTGACTGAAAGAATGCATGCTTCACTAACAAACATGACAGTCAGACGTGTAATTTCCCCTTCCATTCACAATCTCTACTTTTCACAGGCATATGGCCACACACTCTCCGCAGAAGACCCACCAGTGCTCATTCTGTGAGAAAATGTTCCACCGCAAAGACCACCTGAAGAACCACCTGCAGACCCATGACCCCAACAAAGAGGCCTTCAAGTGTGAGGAATGTGGGAAGCACTACAACACCAAGCTGGGATACAAGCGCCATGTGGCCATGCACTCCGCCACGGCGGGGGATCTCACCTGTAAAGTGTGCATGCAGAGTTACGAGAGCACACCTGTTCTCCTGGAGCACCTTAAGAGCCACTCTGGGAAGTCCTCAGCCGGTACTAAGGAGAAAAAACACCCATGTGACCACTGTGACCGGCGTTTCTACACACGGAAGGATGTGAGAAGACATATGGTGGTCCACACAGGCCGAAAGGACTTCCTATGCCAGTACTGTGCCCAGCGTTTTGGCAGGAAGGACCATCTGACGCGCCATGTGAAGAAGAGCCACTCGCAGGAGCTGCTGAAGATTAAGACAGAGCCTCCCGATATGCTAGGTCTCTTAGCTACGGGCTCTCCGCCCTGCTCAGTGAAGGAGGAGCTCAGCCCCATGATGTGCGGCATGGGGCCCAACAAAGACCCCATGATGGGTAAACCGTTCCCTAGTGGGGCACCTTTTCCAATGGGCATGTACAACCCCCACCATCTCCAGGCCATGTCAAATTCTGGGGTGGGTCACCCACACCCATCTCTGATGCCAAGCTCCTTGTCTGCCGCTATGGGCATGGGTTGTCATATGGAATCTCCTGCATCTCTTCACCCACACTCCCATCATCATCACCATCACCACCACCATCACCATCACCACCATTCCCCTCCACTGCCCCCCCACCATCAACCTCCGGCTCCCCAGCAGCAGCACCAGCCCCAGCCAGCGCCCAAGTACCAGCTGGGATCTACCTCATACCTGCTGGACAAGCCCTTGAAAGTGGAGATGGAGAGCTTCCTCATGGATCTGCAGAGTGGCTTGCCAGGCCCAGTTCCCTCTGCAGAGCCCCACGCTGCTGCTTCACCCCCCAAGGATGGACTGGAGCCCGCCACGGGCCTGGCGGATGAGCTCTGCGGGGATCCCCTTCTGTCTAAGAGCCCTGCAGTGATCGCTGAGTCTCTGTGTGCTGCTAACATGGACTTCTCCCACCTGCTGGGTTTCCTGCCCATCAACCTGCCTCCCTACAGTGCCCCCATGAGCACTGGAGGGCTAGTCATGGGTTACACCTCATCTGCGACCTCCTCAACTTCCTCTTCTTCCTCTTCATCGTCTCTGCACACTGCTGAGCCCCATGCTGCAGCAGTTGCAGCGGCAGCAGCCGCTGCTGTCGCCACAGCACCTCTTACCTCTTTGCAACCGCAACCTCAGGAGCAGCAGAGCTCCAGCGGGAGTCTGGGTCTTGGATCTCTGCACCCCCTCCCACCAGTGTTCAGCTCCAGCCTTAGCACCACCACATTGCCTCGCTTCCACCAGGCCTTCCAGTGAGAGTGCCGGCACCTTGCGTCTTGCCCAGCAGGAACGGCCTTCGCACCAGCCTCAGCTCAGCACAGATGTTTCGGGCTAATCAGAAAGTTGGAAAATTAAAATGAAAGAACATTTAGAAGCCTTAAATGAAAGTGCGCACAAAAGCTTTTGATTGAGCCTTAAAAGGAATTTAAACCCCTTTAAGCAAAAAGGAAAAAGTTGAAGCAGCTTTTATTTTGGGCTTTTTTTCCCTTATCCTGTAGTTATACCATGTATTAACCCTTGTTTTTTTGGGTTTTTTTCTTCATTTTTTCCATTTTCATTAATTTTTATCCCCCCTTTTTATCACCCCTTTTTAGTGTTATAGAAGGCAGAATCAGTGGGCCAAAAGGCATGGTACTGCATACTTTCTAAAGTAATACTATAAAAAAAAAAATCAAAGATAACTTTTAGATTATCTGTTTTGTTGTGACCCAGAAAAAATATAGTTTGAAGTGGATATTTTGTTTTACTTATTTTTCTTTACCAAATGTAAGAACATGGTAGAATGCGTCTCATCTTGAGTTTTTGAAACACCCGTGCTTATATATATTATAGCTTCAACTGTCAGGACTGATATGGAGAGAAGAGAGACCCCTGAAAGGAAAACGCATAAACTTTATGTTCTGTTCAGAGATGGCTTACACAGAACCATAAAAGTGACCTGGCCTCTATAATAAAAAAGAAAAAAAGTGCTCTTCCAACATAAAAAACAACAAAAAAACTAAATAGAAAAACCCCACAAAAAATCCATAACAAAACGAAAAAAATAACAAACTGATGTGCTCTTAGAGTCAGCTCAGTTAAAAACAGACTCTAATCATAGATAAGAGATCTGTTGGCTGCCAAACACACATTTTTAAAGAAAAGCTAAGAAAGAGAAAGAAATGTGTGACACATGTTGGCTTCATTTTTTTTTATGTGTTTCTCAAGAGAAGCACTTTTTTTTTTCTTAGCAGAAGGCACTTCACCTTTTGTCTCCTCCCTCCTTGTGACTAGAGGTTTTCACTGAGACAGAGAGCTCCTCGCTAGACTAGAGGAGGGCCGTCTTTCACTTATCTTCCTTTACAAGTTTCCCTGATAGTGATATAGTTGTTTGCAGCTTTTCCTAGCTGTGCCGCATATCTCTGAAAAATATCTCTATTTTCTGAATATACTGCAACCACATCTTTAGGCGGTCTTTTAAAAAGATGCATCATCTTGGTAATGATGAACCCTGACATATGTGAATGACAAAAAAAAAGAGCAAAAGAGTTACAGTGACAGATGAGGAAAAATGTGTTGAAGAATGTTATTGCAGTGTACGAAATATCTCAAAAATTATTATAATGGCTTTTATCTCAGTAAGGTGTATTTTTGGTAGACGTATTACAACTAAATGATGATGTTTTTGATGTCTGGCAAGTTTACATGTGTGTGTATCTTACAGTTTTGATCAAACAAATGGATGAAGTATTAGCCTTTTCCCTTAAGCTTTCTCTGTCATATCCAGTCTTTACCTTTACATGTACTTGAGTTAGTTTAGAGGAATCAAAACTATGGATGGGAAATATATATAGAACGCTGTTAGTAATTTAGTAACAACCTAGGATTTGAACAATTTAGGGATGCTGATATTGAAGACCTATGAAGCTACGTGTATATAGTAGAATATATACTCACCGGCAACTCAAATTACATACACCTTGCTGGCATTGGGTTGGACCCCCCTTTGTCTTCAGAACTGCCTTAATTCGTTGCACAGACGCCGCCAGGTACTGGAAACATTTCTCAGAGATTTTTGGCATGACATTGTTGTAAACTTGCTGCAGATTGGTTGTCTGCACATCCACGAACCTCCCATTCCAAAACATCCCAAAGGTGCTTTGTGACATGACACATTATCCTGGTGAAAGCAGCCTTTGGAAGATGGACTTGTTAAGAGATGCTCTTCTGCATACCTTGATTGTAACAAGTGGAAGAATTCACCTTTCTTCCCCATTCTGATGCTTGGTTTGATAGACTGTTTTGACCATGCCTATGTGCCTGAATGCACAAGTTTCTGATTGGCTGATTAGATATTTGTGTTAACAAGCAGATGTATCTGAGAAACTAGCCGGTGAGTGTGTATCTCACTGTATACATACATTTATAATGGGGTGTAACAACTCTGTGACCAAGACCAAAATTGCAATACAAATATCAGTATTGCATCTTGGCTCAGTCTTCCCATGCTGTGATACCCATGAGGAGCTGTTAATGCCTAGTTAAAGCAATGCATAGTTACAGTAACAAAAGCTGTAATGTTTTAAAGGTTGTTTAGAATAATAGAATGAAATCTTTGTTCATGATCCAATCATGATAAAGTTAATAGGCCTGTGTTAAAAAATGTTTTCTTTTTGTTTTTCATCCCCTGAAAAAAGGAACTGAGGCCAAAAAACTGACGTTTGAACTAATCTGTGGTCTCAAAGAATTGTTACACCCCTAGCAAAACTGCTCTGCTGTGATAAAATCTTCAGTCCAAGATCAGTTATCTTGAATGTCTTGAAGTTCCAACCATTCATTACTAGTCCTTAAAAACCCAAAACCCAAAGGTCACCTAAACCTTAAAGTCATATAGGTGCTCATTATCTTTCCATTTAATTTAACCTGTAGTCATTCCCTTTAATGTAATTATTGTGCCTTGATGGGTCATGCTAACTCTGCACTCTGTCCCTCTTTTGTAAAGATTCTAGAAATGGTGAGAATTTGGGAAAAGGTTTTTGCACACTTGTAGCCTAAAAAAAATCCCTCTGAGGTCTAAGTTGACCCCAAACCTAACCCCTAACACTAACCCTAACCAGAGACAAAGAAAAATACTTTTAAAAAAAGTTAGTGGCTTTTGATGTATGTCAGTTAGAATCAACAGAATTAAAAGTTGCATTTTCTGATAGCACTGAGTCATCAGCATTTATTGTTTAGTCCTAGGAGGGGTGACTTACACATGTGCAGTAATTAAGCACATCTATCATCCGTACTTACCTCATACGTCACACAGCCACAGGAACACTAGTGTTATTGACATTTGAACAACAACCATAAACTGGGAGTCAGTCAGAGTGGCCTGTTGCTAGCTAAACTTTTACAAAGACCGAAAACCACATTACACAATCAGAAAAACAATTTTAAAAAATGCCTAATTTAATGATGCAAAGTTATATTTTGTACTTTCCATTGTAGCAAGAGGCAGAAGTTCGTTGCTAACATGACCCATACAGCAATAACGACCACATCAATAGGAAATACAGGTTTAGATCAATTGGGATTATTCTTAATCTTCTCATCGGTGACGATGCCCAACCTTAATACTGAACCCTAACACTATATTTTGGTGAATCTTTTTTTTTTCTTCAAAAAATGTAAATAGTCTTTGATGTGTTTCAGTTAGCATGATTATTTCTTTCTCCTCTTGATTTGCAAGACTTGGCAGAACATTTTCTTTTAAATGTTAGATTTCCTTTAGCATAGGGTTAGGGTTAGGGTTAGTGTCGTCACCGGTAACAACCTCATAAGGTTAAATGGTCTTTCTGTGGCCTGACCAACACTGACAAATATGCATGTTCATATCTTTGCTAGTTCATTTTATTGGTGAATCTCATTTCAGCGAAAGCGCACCTGGTAACTCTGCCTTTTTAGCAGTCACTGTGCTACATGGGAACCCAAACACACAGAAAAAAAAGGAAAAAAACATAGCACATAAAAAATGGAAAGTCAAACACATATTGCTGCTTTTAGCTACGGTTGCAGATGGATGACAACTGTAGACCACTAGAACATTTCATTTTTTTTCTATCTGCAAGATGGACAGCCAGCTGAAAACGTGCACGAAACAAACCGACAAAGTGTTCATCGGCCCCAGTACCACTCCCTCTGTACTCCTTCCTTTCCTCCTCCTCTTTCAGCTGCTTCGTAGAGTCAAAGGAAAAGGGTCTGAAAATATAGTGATCTATCTGGAGGAAGGCAGTCACCGAACCTCTGTGCTTTGACATTCAAAGCAAGAGGGCGGACACGTGTTTGACTGCAGGACTCGAGGTATCGCTTATGCTCATATATTTGTTTTGTTTTTTGTCATTTGATATATTATTTTCTGTTTGTATAAAACAGGACCTCGAAAAAAAAACAACACAACACATCACCTCATTTTTATGTTTTTGTTTTTTTTGTTTTACCAAAACCTCGGGAGAAGAAACTATGTTTTTGCACAATTGCTTGTTGAAGAATGCTACAAGTGCTTTTCGTTTAATACTGTAGGATATAAAAGCCTGACAATGAGCAGCTGATGGACCCTGTTATTTACACAGGTGGAGGAGTTCAAGGTCCAGCGACTTTACTGCCTTTGGGTGGAAACACATTGGTCAGGCGTTAAAGTTGCGTACATTATTGCTTCAACCTCTTTAGACTTTTGCTCTTCTCTGTGCACCTTGGTAAGTAGGTAAAATTGTGCCAGAAACCTCTACTCTGTAGTTTCCATTTACACAGGTTAACCCTGACCCCTCCTTTCAGAAGGTATAAGAAGCTGAAAAATTTGGAATCACTGCAATGTGTAGAAAAGCGTCCCCGCAGTCTGACTGTTTAACTTCATCCCTAAAAATTGTCTTTGTATAATCCAAATTTCAAACTAAATTGGAGCAGGTTTTACACTTAATTAGAATCCCATTGGAAAGTCATTTTTTGATAATGATGATGATGGCTCTTGCAAAATGATCAGACGTCTGATCTTAAATTCATTAGCTGTCAGCATCTTTCTTAGAATTTATCATATTAAAGAAAAGGTAAAACTGGTCTTTATTATGATCTCTAAAAAGGTGGTTTTATAAGAACCCTTTTGGGTTAAGCCAAACTTGTAGCAATCAAATTGAGCATTTATATATTTTTGTAACAAATAGTCATTTAGTCTTGAAAAAGCTTTTGGCATGCTTTTAGTTTGTCCTCCCTGGGTTTCTGTGAGCTAATCTGAATTCTAGCACTTTCAACCTTTAAAAAAGAGTATTTTTTTCTTTAAGATTTTCAGCTTATGTGTTCATATGTTTTTAATTTTGTATTGATCCTGTATATGTATGTGCCATTAGTTTGATGTGTAGACTTTATCAACTTGTGTATTTCTCTTTTCCAAAAGGATAACAGTATTTTTGATATACCTTTCACTAATATCCTTCTACATAAAAGACCTCTGCCCTTTTTACTTTTTTGTTCGTTTTGGGTTACCAGCTTTGCCTTCTCTCACGTGATTTTTAATCAAACTCTACAGCCAAGTGTTTGAAGACAACAACCACAAACCAACCACAGCCTGCCACTGAAAGCCTGTTGTAAGAGACCTGCCATTTTTCGACCATGTAACCAAACAAAAGTAAAGTCCAGAGCGACCCCACAACATAGATTTTAAAGCTTACCATTGTGGTCACAGGACTGATTGTCTCTGCCAAAAGGAACAACTTTGTGAGCAGCAGTGAAGTTGACTCTCAAAAATGGATTTAAATTAATGTTACTAAACTCAGTTTCAAGCACCTGAAAAGAATAATTGTTTCTTTTTAGATATTTTAAGCAAACTGGACATGTGATGAGGGCTTACTTGTAGCTGTTAAAATTCAGATTTCATGCCTATCTTACCACATGATTTGTACGGAAGCTCATTTGTGCCAAGAAGTGAACCAATAATTAAAATAATTCTAATAATAATACAGGCAGTTAGTCAAGTGAAAATAAGATATTATACTAAGTGTGATAAAGTGAGATAGCTATTAAAATCATTCCATCATCATTCCACACAGGAATGTTACAAAGTTCCAGGATCTGGTCTGTAACAGACCTACACATTCAGCAGGACAAGCTGCAGATACAAATATGATTTAACATCCATAAATATGTGTAGAGAACTTGTGTGTGAATAATCACATATTTAACTGTTTTTCAGTGTCACTTACGTTTAGTGATAGTAGGATGGGGTTTAGTGATGGTACATTTGTGGGTAATGTGCAAACAGGACTTGAAAATGGCTAAAGACAGAGCATAGCCTAACAGACCTACCTATCCATGGTTTCCATTTTTGTACTGGTTTCCAAAGTAGATCTGTATGTTGGTCATTTCATCTTGATTTAAAATGATCAGGCTGCTCATAGAGTTTTCAAAATATTTTGAACAATGTCATGTTGACTAAAAACGTGAATTTTCAACTGAAACAGGAAGTCTTTGTACAGCATATGTACTGAGCCATGTTTTTAGGTCGTATTTGTTTGCATTTTGCTGTGTACTGCCAATAGTCACTGATCTGAACAAAACTCAAACTGTGTTAATTATATGTTCCGCTTCATGCTCTAGTCTATTGTAGATGTACATATTACTATACATCGGCGTAATTTTGTGCTGATCTCTGTCATGATCTCTGTCTAAATAAATAAATGCATCTGGGTAAATTCCCAGATGGTTAAACATGCAACTATTTTGCTGGTAATACCTGAAATGAGTAAAGAAAATCAACAGCCTATCAACAGCAAGGTAATTCACAATTTTATTGGGGGGGCTATATTGGTTGGGTCTGATTATTGGGGGGGTCATAACCCCCCTGGAAATTACGCCCCTGTTACTATAAGATCCCATAGTACTATGGACAATGAGATCTTTAACTTCAAATTATATGAAAGATTACGAAATAAGATCTCTCCTTTTTTTCAGTGCAATACATTTCTCTACTTTTAAGTATTTTGACATGCTAATAATTGGTTACTTAAATGCAATTGTAAATGGAAATTTAATCTTAGTAATTTAAAAAAAGCACAAAAATAATACATCTGCTAAAATAAGTTTTGTTTCAGGCTCTATGAACTCTGTCCTGCTTGATCATCATTTGTCATTATTTACATAAAGTGAAAAGTATAAAAGTTTTGACTAACGTTTCCTAATTTAGACTGTAATAACACAACTACAAGGGGATTTTTAATTAAAACAATATTTCATAATTTCAATTTACAATTGTTTTTTTTGGCAGAAATGAGCTTCTGTAATTTGAGCTGATGTCCATATCATATCAATCCTATTCTGAAACAATTGCAGTGTTGTTCTGCTACTCTTCTTGGTTGTAGCTCCATTACCTCGACCTGCACCTACTAGGGATGCACTTATTCTCATCTTTTCTTCTTAACTAGTAGGTGCAGCACACACACATTTTAAGGGAATTTATATATCAGTTTAAATCTGAGAAAACTGATTAGATTTTTAATGAGGCTCTCTCTTTGTTGCCCTCTCTTTTGTTTCGCTGTTAATGAGAAACTGGGTACTGTCTGATGCAGGCAACATCCACAAGTAGTTTTATATATTTCTAGCTTAACGGAAGTCTTGCATTCCAACCTCTTTGTGTATCTTGTTTAGTGACATAGCCCATTTTATTTTTATCACTTGCTATTACAGCCACCTCTGAAATAACCAAGATTTTTTTTAAAAAAAGAAGAAGGTTAAAATAGAGTTTTTGCATCCACGTACACTATATTATATAGCATCAACTACAGGGAGAGTTCTATTAATGATGTGCTTTGGATAAGACAGACAATGCGAGGTCTTGCTTTTTTTTTGTTACATATCTCACATGCAATCAGTTGCTGCAATGTTAAAGTGACAGATTTGTATATTGGTTGATCCAAAGAGATGATGAACACAACAACAGAACTATTGACTTATTGTACAGTACAGTCTATCTTTGAGTTGTCATGTGTTATGTTGAAATGATTAAAAGAAAAACCAGTGGTTTCATAGCCTCTTGGCATTCTTTTTTTTTCATCTGCAAAACACTAAACCACACTAAAACATGTCAAAATGATTCACATAAGATATTATCATAAGATCTCAGTACCTTTTGAGAATCTGGGCTCTGTAGCAGTGTAGGAAATTTTTTTTTAGTATATCAACTTAAATCAGCGGTGTCCAACTCCAGGCCTTGAGGGCTGGTGGCCTTCAGGTTTTAGATGTGTCCTTGATCCAACACAGCTGATTTAAAGGCTAAATTACCTCCTCAACATGTCTTGAGGTTCTTCAGAGGCCTGGTAACGAACTAATCATGTGATTCAGGTGTGTTGACCCAGGGTGATATCTGAAACCTGTAGGACGCCGGCCCTTGAGGCCTGGAGTTGGACACCCCTGACTTAGATGTTTTAAGGTGATTATGGGACTTTCTTGAGAAGAGAGGATTTTGATCGTTCTCCTATGATGGACAACACAATCTAACATTCAGAAAACAGAATAAGTTGTTAAATCATTTTTTAAAAGTCATTTCCATTTAGGATATTTTTTCCTGAACTCTGTATTCTTGCGATTATTGTTTATTTTCTCTCGGCAGGAATAAGAATGCTTTACCGCTTGACCCGATCTACGCGATATATTCAAATCTGAAACATATTTATTTCTTTATATCATATTTCTGTTTTCAACATACATTAAGATTTTTTTTTACTCTGTATCAGACTGAAAGATAAGTAATATTGCACATCATTAGTAGCAGAAATTTTAAACAGATTTGAGAGCAGAGAAGTAGTGTAGAGAAACAGTTTTCCTGTTTCGTAATATGATGTGCATGGAGTGGAACAGGGAGAACCTGGCTGGATAGGCTTTATTAGCCATGCCGATGCTGTTTCTTGTAATGAGAAATGGGTTGAGGTTTGACCACAGTTAGGGTGTTGTTTATTTATTTTTATCACGAGAGAATACCAAATTACGAACATGAGTACGAAGATGTGATGATTATTGACAGTAAATTACAAATTTCTCTTATTTATGCAAATTTTTATTTTTTTAAGTAAGAAACTTACTGCTTTGCTCAAAATAGCTTAAAACAGTATCTCAGAGTATTTCCTTTCTATATGACTTGCTGCGTGTTCCACAGTGAGTCGAAACCTCGTACAGTACCAGAGTCTGGATTATGTCTTAGAGAGCTATACAAGTGCGCCTGCATGCATAACTGAGTGTCAAGACCATCCTAATTATAGTACCAAGGAGCTAACCTATACTTACATCAACTGAACTGACTCTAACACATGTACTCACGGGCTGCCAACTGTGCCATAATTCAGGAATAGAAACTCTTCTGGTTTCATAGAAGGGTTTGTAAATAGGATTTGAGACACCACAGCATAAACTTTGTCATGTGACCACAGGTTTCCACACAGTGAACAATTATGGAAGGACAAATCAGGAATTAACAACTTAAAAGCCATACACAGCAGACATCTCACAAAAAATTAGGCCAATAGTGTGAAACAGTGCTGCTCTATTGGTGGGGAAAACCAAGAGCTGGAAGATGAACACTTTGTAGTTGAAACAGTGCACTGATAGAAATGTTTTACAAAGGACATAGTGAAATAAGTAGTGGGAAAAAGCGAAGGGAAAACTACAGAAATAACAATAATCATATACATATAAGAATTAAAAAGGTAAATGCTTAAGGAAGCAAAATGACACTGGAAATTTTCTTAAATTTAAAAAATGAATGCATGCATTTATTGACCACTGTGCTTGGTGCATTTGAATTTCCTCGCTCTCTCTGATTGGTAGATCCTTAAGATGTTTTGTTTTTGCTTTGTTTTTTTCTAAGAATAATGGCTCGATGTGATTATATGATCCAGGCTGAAATAGAAAACCCACAAATTTTTAGCCCTTCTAAATCAATCTATTCATCCCTGATTGTGTTTTTGAAGATGGAGTGTTGAAACGTAGATATTTTTATCGATAGCTACTCCGGACAGCCTCTTTCTCACACAGGCAGACAGACAACGGTCCTAGACACTGAAAGTCATGTATTGCAGTTTACATGACTATCATTAGACTGGGGGACTTTTGTTCATATGCACTGCTCAAAAACAAATCAAAAAAAGAGCAGTGGTGTGACATAGCAGGTTAGCCCATTTTACTGAAATGTGCTTGTTTGCATGAATGACAGCATCAGCGCACGCTTATAATGAGATGATAATGTCGTGGGGGATCCCCTCCCTAATCTGGAACCAAGTACTACCGAGGTCCTGGACAGTCTAAGATGCAACCTGGTGGTGTTGGATTTTTCTTGGATTTAGGTCAAGCGAGCACAGTTAGTGGTATCAATTGCATCATCCTCCAGGAAGTGCCCGCATACTCTCACCACATGAGCTGGGCATTGCTTTGCACTCAGAGGAACCCAGAACCCCCTGCGCCAGAGGAGGGTCTGGCAATAAGTCCAAGGATTTCATCCTGATAGCTAATGGCAGTCAGGGTGCTGTTGCCTAGCCTGTAGAGGTTCCCCTGTCACGTCTGTCATATGCGCTCAGGCTGAAGGTACTCTAATATATGAAAAACATAGGGCTTTACATAGCCAATTCTCATTTTCTGTGGCAAGTGCCAGTATTGGGCTAAAGTGCCACAAGGCCTCAGCCCTTTAGCCCTCAGTGAGCACAGGGCTCATTAGACAACGTTGGACCCTTAGGACAGCTTCATGACAAAGTCTGTTTATGATTGTTTAGTCACAGACAGTGACACCAGTGACCTCCTGGAGGTCATGTTGTAGGACTTTGGCAGTGCTCCCTTTCTCCACTGCACAAAGGAGCAGAGCGGAGCAGTCCTGCAGATGGATTAAGGACTTCTTTGGCCTTGTTTCAACTGCCTGGTACTCATTTTGTGTGGCATAAACTCTGGGTGTTAGTTTTGTGGAAATTAGTTTTAATTGATCATTTTGCTGGTTTTTGCCCTAGACTGTACATTAAAGATTGATATTGCCCACTGATTTCTGGACACTGCATTTTCATTGCTACCGTTTACCAGAGTGCTAAGTGAACAATAGGTAATGCAAGCTAACTTAGTTAGCAATGTTCAGTTCAGCAAGCCTTGTCTTGTGAAAATGAGAACTAGCAGACACTTATTAGCTAAAGCCTCCTGTGTTAGGACCTATCTGTAGTATCAAGATATTAGCGTTTTATAATAATCACAGTTGTTATAAAGGAAGAAACTATCAACAGATATAATAATTATATTTTGTGACAGGGAACAACCTGAAATAAAGTTGTGCTGCCTTTGTGGACAGGATGTGTCATTGTAAAATCATTGTAATGCACCATTAAGCATGTTCCAAAAACACAGGAAGCTAACTTTCATATTCAACTTGCCATCACTTTATTGTTTTGTCGTGGTACATTTTGTAATTGGACATTCTGTAAAAGAAACAAAGAGAAAAATAACAAACAAGTTTCTTTAAAAGTCATCAAGAGCATCATGCTTTTTGGCTAAAACGATGACAGGAATCATTACAGAGAGCGCCACAAACAGAAAAATGCAACAAATACAAAGCTGTTTTCTTTTATTTACATTGTAAAACCTTCAATCATACATGCATGACTCGGCCTCTTAAAAGTAAGTCTGTAAAAAATCTCCCCTGGTGTGTGCACTTGCAGGAGAGGAGTGTCTGTCCTTATATTAGACAGCAGTCAGGTATCAGAGCTCTGAAACTCTGACACAACACAGGGTGGTTCAGCAAGTAAAGGATGAAAATAAAAAGTAATGATCCTGTCATTTCAACTGAGGGATCCTTGGGGCTTTGATTAGTTGTTTCACATAGCAAGTGGCAGGGGGAAACTTCAAATGATTTTGCCTTCTCGATCTCTTTAAGCAGCTTGTCTGTAGCTTGAGTGCTGATGATAATGAAGGAGAGACCATGAGGATGAGTTAGCCATTCTTTCCTCTTGCCCTGAAGAATCAGGGTATATCTAGGCAAATATCTCATCTGTACTTTTGTGCAAAAGTGAAGCATTTCAATAACCCTACTAAATCTGTCAAGGGTGTAACAAATACAAGTGTGTACTAAATATTACCTTACATGCTGTGTAGTTTATGGTTTGAGTTTCTCATAAATCTGCGAGGTACTTCTTTTTGTTTTGCTTGATTAAAAAAAGGCCTTGGCCTGAGACATCCAGTCCTAATTGAAATTTACTGCAAATATATTTTCCTTTAAAACCACACCACATACAGTCTGATAACCTGGCATTCTGCAGACACCATCCATTGTTTTCTACTTGAGATATGGATACTGCTTCAGATATACTGTATTAGTGATACTGATCTGCACTTTTGTTGCTGTCTTCCTAAGAAGAGTGATACCACACATCTACTGACATTTAGCACAAAAACTTATGTCTCTATGTAGTTAAGAAAGTATTGCTATCTGCTGGCTAGCTTAGCACACCATAAACACTAATATCTGTGTTCTAATGTCCCCAGTTTTACTTTCAAACTCAAAAGCAACACCTATCATTATATAGTCCCATAATGCATTGGATTGTTGACATCACAATCTGAGCAAAGTTCCTGCTAGCAGCAGGTTAACTTAGCCTAGCATTAAGACCCATATATTAATACCCATATTAAACAGAAAAGCTTATGCTAGGTACCAGATAGCTTACCTTAGACCAAAAACTAATGTTTCTGTCGCAATCTACTGCTAGCAGCCAGTTAGTTTTCTCTACATTAAACTAACCCTTGTGATCAGGTAGCTTAGCTTAGCAAAAAAGGATGAACAGGTAATCTGGCTGTACAGATGGTCATTACTCCTCGCCAGCAAAAGGCTGATTTATTGTGTACAGGTGCTGGAATACGTTGTTGAAGTTATACATAAAAACCACAGATGATATAAAACATGGACATAGTTTCTGTGTAGCTTAGTTGCTCATTTCAAGTCATATTGACTAAAAAATGAAGTTATTTTGTAAATCTCGAGACTCACAGGATTGTCAGCCAATGAGCAAGGGGTTTCATGGTCAGCCATACCCCCCTTGTCACATCTAGTTATTTGAAACCAAGATGGCAATGATGAAAATGCCAAACTCGAGGCTTCAAAACACAACTTTAGAAACCAACAGATGATGTCAGAGTAGCCACTTCCACCTTTTACACCGTTTATAATATAAAATGGCTTTTAACAAACATTCAGATTTAAGAAATTTCATGGGGCAAATTCATATCTTTTACCTTTAATTTGGCTAGCATTCAACTGAAATACGGTATCTGGTTAGAGCTGCTCTGCATAAAGTAACCTAGATTAGTCCATAGGCTGAAAAGTGAAGCTAGTGCTTTAGAATCTTAGACCTGCATTCTTTCTAATTTACCACCTGAAGGCACCGGTTGTTGCAAAGAGACTTTTGGTCCTACAGAACTCTGTAGATCTGCATCACTTGTTTCAGGTTTTGTATTCAGTAAAAATTGGGCGACTCAAACTGTCAGAAAGGCAGTCAATAAAACCCCCAGCATACGCGTATTGTCCATGGCGTTGTTGATATTTTGACTGAATAACATGAAAAGTCAGACAAATTACTTCCCAACTAATGGGAACACATGGATGCAGGGTTATATGCCTTAAGACATAGCAAGAATGTCATCTTTCCTCTTTATGCCTACTGAAAATAACCTGTCACTAGCTCATATTTAACAAACAGTCATGCGAGTGGTATCAGTCTTCTTACCTAGCTTTTAACGGAAGCGAATAAGTTTATTTCTATTTGCTCAACTGGATTATTACATATTGCAATTTTGCTACTGTAAAATAAAATAGTTACCTAGATGAAGCCCTTGAGTTGAAGGTAAAGCATTTTTTTAAAATCAGGTTCCACCCAAAACTGCATGTTTTTTAAGCTGAAAAATACATATAATTTGAAAATAAAGGTAAACACATGATCTGCAGCGCACAAAACACAGACTGTACACATCTAATAAGAACCCTGTCAATTACATTCAAAACATCCCAGGACCTCTAAGCTCCGATACCGGCCAGGTGATCTTGCTGGGCTTTCCAAACACATCAGGTTATACAAACAAACGTATGGTACATTAGGCTCAAAAAGGAAAGAAAATAGGCATTTCGTACTAAAAATGGTCCTCTGAAACAACCTTTGCAATTTGCACCTTTTCCCCCCATTACTGCATAGTTCAGCAGGCTCAGGCGCTGCTAAGGCTACACTGATGGCATGGTTAACGAGCGGAAAAACATATTTGTGTTGTAGGCTTTTGAATATAAAATGGGTAGTTGGGTTCAAATATTCAAGTTCAGTCCCATTCTGAGCAGTTCTGCTTCATTTAGCGCAAATGGAGCAATATTTTGACATGAATAAGAAACCCAGTGTTTGGGAGGGAGAAGCTAATATTTGGATTACAGTTGTGGTTAACATGGTCACACCAGGACATGGAAACTGAAGTAAAAAAAACCCCAATAGATTTAATTTATCCATATTTGTGTTACAATGTAGAACTTCCCAGGGTGGTTTCCATCCATGAGTTCAACACAAAAAACAGAACCACAGAAACGATCCTCAATCCTTTCCTGATCTGTAAAGTCTCTGAAAAGAAGGTCACGTCTGAAAATGGAGACAGCAGAAAGTGTAGAAACAGAATTTACGTGGGGAAACCAGAAGGAAGTAGCCTCCTGAGAGGCGCCCAATAGAAATCAAGACACAGATAAATCCCATGAAGACAAAATAAAAACCTGGATAAGTTACAATCAAAAAACACACACAAACACACACACAAAAAAAAAGATAAAATGTGCAGAAACCCTTGTTTGACAAGCTTTGGCCCCCTGTCTTTGTGGAAAAAGGTGAAACAGCAGAGGACATTAATAGTCCCGGCAGAACAGAGATCCTCTAGATGTCCTGGAAAGGAGGAGGAGGGAGGCAGAAGCAAGGTGACAGCCGTTTTAGATCTGCCACCTTGCTTTTCTTTATTGTGAGGCCAGCAGTTGCGACTGATGCACTGTAGAAAGCAACCCTCTCATTCCTTCTGCACTCAAGTCAGTGCTTGTTGGACATGAAGAACATTTTTATATATATTTAGAATGTTACAAAAAAAAAAAGAAAAGAAAAAAATAAACAAAAAACAGCAGCACCAGCAATAACTAGTCGATTTTCACCGCAGCGTAGATTTTCCTGATGAACATGTAGGCGGCATAGAAGCCAATTGTGCCCGTTAACAGCCAGAAAGACAAGACCATGAGGGCGGTGTAGCCAAAGTACAGAAGGGAGGGGATGAACTCCACAATGTCCAGCTAGGGAAGAAAGACAAAAGGAAGCAGTTTAAGCATGCTGCACATTTCCATTTCTATTAAAGAGATATTCTTGCAATTTATCACTTGTATCTACAGTGCAGGGAACAAGATATTCTTGCCTAGAAAATAGAAAACATCTATCATTTGACATCGTTTCATGAAGGTGTGTCGTTTGACTGTCTCCCTCCCCTCACCCCTAACTGGTTGTAACAGATGGCTGCCCCTCCCTGAGCCTGGTTCTGCTGGAGGTCTCTTCCTGATAAAAGGGAGGTTTTCTTTACCACTGACACCAAGTGCTTGCTCATTCCAATATAATGCACCTACAGGTGACTGCTGTTGTGATTTGGGATATGAAAGGTCATATGAAAGGTTGTTTTTGCAGTAGTTGTAGATTTTAGTTGAAATTGTGTGAACCTTCCCCAAACCCTCTTCAATGCTCCCTTTTGAATATGCCTTCCAGCACCCCATAACATGCTCTGAACTCCCCATGGTAGGTTGCCATTTCCAGAGTTCATTTTGTTGGCCATGATCTTGTTTTCCAGCATTGTTGGAAGTATTATAGAGGAAACACAGAACCTGCAACAACAAAGATGGTGGTAGAAGTCTAACTGGAAGTTAGACTTGTGCTAGTATTAGCCAGCACTAGCTGATTACCTGCCATTTCCTATGATAAGGGCAGCTGGCTCCACTGAGCTGGTAAACTCTTAACCATAAACTGTGACTGGTTCTCAGTGAGATCCAGCTCAACCCTCTCAACCAAAAATGTTCTTCTATCTTTCAAAACTCAAGTGTCCAAAATATCAATCTTTGAAGTTACAGAACAGAAATCCACAAACCAATCAGAGACTAAATCTTATGTTTGTTTATACAGTCCATGTCTGTACGTTAAAAGAAAACAAAAAACTAGGTCCAACAAAATAACATTTTTACATATGAGTGAGTCGATGGTGGAAATCTTCAAAATTAAATTTAATTCTGCCATCTTTCAATTCAGGTATTAGGCAGGCTTTGTCAACACTGATGACTCTTCAGGCATTGACAACAGCATGGCTAAGAACAGTGCTTTCTTTAGAGTTTATTGTGGGAGTGTCTCAAACAACCCTGTGCTTTTTACCTTGTTGACAAAGTAGAAAACGGCGTAAACAAGGACATAGAAAGCCGAGCCTCCTGAAACCAGGAAAGTTCTCCACCACCACCGGTAATCCTGACAGTGAAGAAGAGAGAGACAAGGCTGTGCATAAGTTCTTGCTCATATAATACAGATATGTGCCACACAGGTGAAAAACATAACCAACAATATGTGAGATATGTGTGTATGTCAAGTAAAAGCCTGGCAGCCAGAGACAATAGTATGCAATTAATGAGCTTACCTCTGCACAGAGCTGGAAATAAACCATCACAATGCTGATCTGAGAGCAGGACACCACCAAAATGATGAAGACCAGAAAAAGGAAGCCAAAGAGGTAATAAAACTGGTTCTCCCAGATGGCCTGGAGGTGGATGGACACACATACACACATTGATTCTAGCATTATTGAGGAGGATTGCACATCAGTTACATATCCTCTAAATAGAAAATAGATACTGTGTTATTTCTGAAAACTGTGTACCGTATTTTCCGCACTATAAGGCACACTTAAAATCATTAAATCTTCTCAAAAATCGGCAGTGCGCCTTATAATCTGGCGCGCTTTATAATCTGGTGCGCTTCAAACCGATTTTATGTGGTACACGGCGCTCAAAAATCTGTCAAAAAATGTTTTAGTAGGACTTTGGTAAGCTACAAAGCCGCACTGCTTGATGGATTGTCTGTGCGTTATGGCTACCGTAGTCAGGAGCCTCGCGACTCATAGTAATCTGGGTCCAAAACTCCGTCCGCGTCAACTTTTTTCCACTTGATAAAAGTTCCCGATGTTTTTTTTGACAAATGCAATCGCATGGAAAATTGCTGTAAACAGACCAACATCAGTAGGGGAGAACAACTGAGATAATCCAGCCACAATATGAGGTTAGTCATTAATGTAAGATAAAATAACCTTTATTAGTTCCACACGTGGGAAATTTGTTTTGTTACAGCAGAAAGTGGACAGTGTAAAGTTACATAGCAAAAATTAGAAAAACACTGGAACAACATATACTGTTGTTCCAGTGTTTATAGAGCAGCTACCAGAGAATTCAACATTAATCAATCAATGGTACGGAAGTGGAGGAAGCAAGAGGAATGAGTTGAGTAAAGTTTGACTTATCTGACTGTTTTGTTTCGTTTAATACGCCTTATAATCCGGTGCGCCTTATGTATGAAAACAGACCCCTTTGTCGACAGTGCAATTTATAATCCGGTGCGCCTTATGGGCCGAAAAATACGGTAATAGCATTGAAAGATGAGGAGCTCGGACATGCAACGGTGCACATGTACTTACACTGAAGATGAAGAAGAGCTCAATGAACATGGCACCAAACGGCAGGATCCCAGCCATCAGGATGCTAACGGAAAGAAGAGGAAAGATTAAATCATAATTTGCGTTTAAGCAAACCATTAGCCATTGGGGCACCTAAGAATGCGAGATAGGCTAAACTCTTACCCGACAAACTTGTTCATGTACCAGCGCTGCTCTGGGACCTGCCGAGGGATCTGGTTGGTGCGTACAGGGTTATCATACGGCTGTTTGCGGAAGCCAAAGTAGTAGCCAAGATAGACCAAGGGCATGGAAATGCCAAACCACATGCACAGTAGGGCCAACATTGTAGTGAATGGGACCTGAAGTGAGAGAAGACATAAGGAACACAAGAAGAATTATTCAGAAATTCAATTCGATTTTATTTACATAGCGCCAAATCACAACAAAGGTCGCCTGAAGGTGCTTTATATATGGTAAGGAAAAGACCTACAGACCATACAGAGATGATGTCAAGATGTTTAAGAATCCATGTGAGAGTTCAGTTAATCTTTAAAGTTAAACCACACCTACAGCACAGATGCTTTATTCTGTGACAAATAAGAAGACACTTCATAGGATAGTATACTTCTCCCGTGGATGCTTCCTTTAACAGTTTTACCAGCCAAAATTCCCTGCAATTGTTTTTCTACCCAACTTTAGTTTCCATTGCATCCAATCATGGTTTCCAGTTGATGTGAGTCACATTAAACCATTCTTTGGTGTCTCATCCACTCAAATACCTGTCCTTCCAGATTAGTGCCTTATTAGACCCAGACTGTACACTACATTGACTTGCTACACCATCTGGTGGTACAAATTGGTATTACAGGCAAATATGGTCCAATTCCATTTTTACTCGAGGTGGTATGGCTTCAAAACACAATAACCAACACAACACAAAGATGCTTTCAACAAAAAGTTGTTGTTCCAATTAAAGCTTTAGTTAATCTCAGAAGGGCATAAACACACAGTATCAAATTTTACAATAAAAAAAAAGATGGGAAATCAATGATGTTGGTGTCACCTATCATCCCCAAGTTAGACTTTTCTGTGTTAGTGGCAGGAAGATAAAGAATATAAAAGTGAGTAAAGTGACTGTTTGAGATATAAAACAAACACACTCACTTTAAACATGTAACTTTTTTGTGTAATAAGGTGATTTCATTCTAAATCTCTCTTCATGACCCTCATTTAGCTCCCCCCCCCCAAAGGTCATCTGAAGTTTTCCATAGCCCAGTTTGTATTAATAATGACTATCATATTACCAGCTTGATGATTGTCACAAAATAATTTTTATTTCAGGTTAGCTCAGATAGATTGGGTCATAACAGGCCTGAACAAAGAAGGAGGAAAGCATATTTAGCAATATGTTCCTGTCTTTAGAAATCCCCCTTGGTGGTTCTCGTTTATATGACCTCTGTGAAATAACATTGTAACAACACATGGGGTAAAGTAGGATGTGCAATCTGCTGAACACTGTACTGGAAGACGTCTGCCATCACTGTTAATGTGCATGCTGATACTATTCTGTTGAAATGCCGTTGCATCTTTCCTTTATCTTATGACATTTTCCACCAAGCCTTAATTTGGCAAAGGAGGCAGGAGGTTTTTTCGACTATTCTGCCGTACCCTGGGTCTTGGTGCAGCCTCTCAGTTCATCCTCTTCATCTCAAAACAGCTTTCTGTTAACTGGCTGCACCTCATAATCGATAAAAGTAAAGTTTGGATCAGCAGGAATATCCAAGAGCAAGGAAAAAACTGCCTGACACAGAGGATTTAAATCTTTTGGCTCACATGGATTACTTGTACATACACTGATTTAATTATCTGAAACTCTGGCCATGTTATTTTGAGCATCTAGAACTGGAACAGTATAAAAGCATAGCATATCCAGTAAAATGTGTTAAAAAGTTAATTAAGGATAAACGATTCTTCTTTTAAACAGAATGTGAAGTATGTGAAAGCATAGCTGACACACACATTTTTGAATGTGTGACTTTCAAGTCATGGCACTCACCGCTCCAGACGAGTGTTCTCCCCAGATAAAACAGTTGAGGATGAAGCAGATCCCAAAAACCACAGCAGGATACAAAGTTGCTGTCTGCATGGCAAATACAACAACAACAGTCTAAGCCTCACTGCTCACATCATTTTACGCATACACATTACACATATACAAACATATATATATATATATATACACGCACACGCACACACACACAACCCCCCACCTCCCCCGCTTCTTCACACTGCTGTAAGAACCTGAACTCACACAGAATGCTCCTTTCCTCCATCGATGACCCTTCAGTGTGCGATACAGTCTGCCAGCAAAGTAGCCACCAAATACACTGCAGGACAAACATCGACAGTGTAAAAATCAAAGAATTCTGAAACTCGGCGCCTCTCAATTCCTTAATGAGCTTTAGACAGATGAATGCGGCTCCTACCCCATAAACATGAAGAGGAAGCAGGCAGTGGTCATCAAGGCTCCTCGACTTGATGGAGACAGCATGCCCAACATGGCAACAACTAAACACAAATGAGAGCTGGATTAGAAGACTGCAGGACTCCTGGGCTCCTATGCTAAACACAGAGCTTCAGCTAGCAGGAGCTCTTCTAAACTGCAATTAAATAAAATAAGCTTCCATATGTTAATCAGAATACAAGACAATTATGCCCTGGACTAATATGGCATTTGGCAAAATTTGTGACAGTTACAATAAACACCAACAGATCATTTTGTAAAACATCACATTTTATGGATTTTAGCTTAACTCTTTGATTCAAACAACAAGTAAAATTATTTAAACATAAACAAGTAAAAAAAAAAAAAATGTAAATACCTACATCTCACAAATAGGCTAGGCTACCCCTGAATCCCCGAGCAGCTCCGCAACGAAAAACATGGAACAACCATCTTTTTCTCAACAGGAAATGGGAAATGATTACACCACGAGGGAGCCGCAACGCATGAAGCTTTCATGACTACCATACTCATTATTCAGTGAGCATAGTTAAGATTCCACAGATTCTGTCATCCAAGGTTTTTCCAAAGTGGACTGAGTATAAATCACTGTCTTTGTTGCAAAGCTAGGCTGTAAACACTGTCACAATCACTGAAAAAAGTTCCTGTTGAAATATTTCAAGCCTGAAATAATCCCTGCTGGATATTTTTTGAAGATACAAGCTACAACTATTAAAGCAGATAAAGAATATAATAAGCCTGATGTTACTGTTAACTGTTCTAAACAGATATAAAAACAGTCATACGGCAAAAGAACAGGATAAATGTCATGACTAACAACATTTACATTTAACAAACTTGCACCTCTTTAAAAGATGAAGTTGAAGTTTATGGTATGTGAATCATCCACCACTCACAACTCAGGTCATTAAGAGCTGCACCTTTGCCACATAGTATGCAGTATAACAGGTGGATACTGCACCATTAACCCCCCAGCAGCACAGGGTCTAACTACTTTACTGACAGAAATTCAGCTTTGAGTATTTGTTCACACTCCTAGTGTGAAACACAGAACATTAACAATTTGCTACAGAACGTGCATTTGTTTTGTAGAAATGTGCAACACTGAGCAGTTTCATATTTTCACACTCTTATCTTTGCTGATTCATATATGTAAGGTGAGCCCTGTCACCTTGAGAGCATTCCTCGTGTTTTGTCTTTGTGAAGAAATGACAGGACTAGGACAACATGGCCTAAGCACAAATGTAAATAATGTCAGGATGTGCAGAAAACTGTTGAGAGAAATAAGAAACTCACAGATTACAATGAGGATCATGCAAAACAGCTGGATCCCTGAGCCCAGCAGAGAGCTGAGGATCATGGGATACTGTGGTGGTCTGAACACATCACCGTGGACATTCTTCCAGCCCGACTCCTCCATGGTGTCCTCCTGGTTAGAGAGGAGAAAAATGTGGTCAGGTAGTGATCATTAAGAATCCAGAGGCTGGATGCTGTGTATTTTCTTACTATGTCATCCTCTCTGTTGTAGTTAGCAATGTCTTTCCTCAAGGTCCTGATAATGATCATACTCAGAATACCTGAGAGAGAAAGGCAGAGAATAAAATACAATTGCAATATTTAATACGTTGTCATAAACCCATCAATGATCTCTTCGATATATAATAAAGTTTCATTTATATGTTTCAGTTAGCCAAAGAATGTAGTCTTATTTTATGGAGTTGTTATGAAGGATGGATAGTATGATGGTGTTTTAGTATTTTATACACAGTATTATGCTGACAAAGGCAAGTTCTCTTGACGTCCATTTTAAAAGCTGCTCAAACTTGCATCAACGATGACATGTTGAATAAACAAGTGACAGTGTTTAAAAAGACTATCCAAAACAATCAAATCAAATGCAGTGACAACAGGACAGGAAAAAGGACCTGGGTGTCACACAGAAAAACAAAACAAAAACTTCTTAAATTCAAATCTAAAGTTCAGTTGTAAATCTGCCAAATTGTATCCACTAGATTGATACATATTTTACAAATTTCTATACATTTTTGTACATATTATATAAAAAATATTATATTAGTTCATGCCTTTACTGCACCGACAGCAAACTGGTGGTGAAAATAAATCATAAAAAATAAATAGAAATGACAGAAATAGTAAGAGTAAGATGCCATGAGCCACAGGTAAATTCTAACATGAATTGGACATACCTGAGAGGAAAAAGACGACCACCACAGAGTTAACAATGGAGAACCAGTGGATCTGGACATCACTCATGGTCAGGTATGTGTCCCAGCGAGACGCCCACTTCACTTCACTCTCCTACACACACACACACACACACACACACACACACTACACATTTAAAATTTGCTAGTAGGTGCCCAAAATATTAGTTTGTTGCACATTATTTTTATGACTATTATTAATAAATTATTTAATTAGATTGAATATGTCAGAATAATAAACTTGAGTATAACAAAGGTACACAGCTATAACCACGTTCTTTACCAGGAACCCTGCAACGAAGGAACCAAGGCTACTGCTCCTAACATTGGTAAGGTTTGTAAACTCTGCAGTCTACTCTGACATTATATGTGTGCGCAACACTAAACATTAAACAAAGTATACATTTCAGCAACATTTAAACAGGCTTTTATTAATGAGGATTGTAATCAAGTTAAAGCAGTTATGTAAACAAAGTCATTTGAACAGATTATTCAGGGCTACAGATTTTTATGACTACTGGGTTGCAAGACTTGAAAACACATTCAGCCTTAACTGACCTCCCAGTGTACAGAGTAGGTGAACAGGACTTCATTCTCCTTGGTAGGGTCGATGTCTTGAGCGGCAGAGCCACTGGGTTCAGGTAGGGTGCAGGTCTTCAGCGCCTCTGCAGGCTTCAGATCTGAGGAGAAAAATAATAGGACACAGGATGGAGTATACTAAGTATAAGCGGTAATCTTTACTTAACTTTTTAGTCAACAAATCTACTTCCTCTTTCCTTTAACTCACTACAGGCCTAAAGCAACATCAGGCGATTCAAAAAGAGTATGCTGACACTAACCTTCTACTTTGACACTCCGGGGTATAACCTCAAATCGCACCACCCTGTAGTCATGAAGGTCCCCCTCCACCAGTTTCTCCTTGTGGAAGTACAAGATGAAGGACAAGTGGTTGTGCAGATAAAACTGGGAGGGAGAAAAAAAAAGAGAATAATTTAACACTCTTCATATATTCATGTCTTTACTCTCTGCATATGGACTACATCACCAACTAAAGCTGACCTCTCGTGTATATATCCAACCTTAAATTGAGTGCAACTTGCAGAAAATTATATGCTGCAAAGTTTTTAAATCATGTTTTTGGGATTCATTTAAATATTCTTCTCCTGAAAGGGAAACTCCTGGAATTACATACACCATAAGGCCAGCTGCAAAAATACCCGTGCAAAGGTTTCAGTCATAGAACTGACACTATGTCTCTAAAGCAAAGGCTTTGTGCTGCCACAGACGATCAGTAAATCATTCTTTATCACCCTTTATTTTGAATCATTCTTTAAAATTCCAACCTGAAGGGCAATTTCAGGAGCCAGTAAAAACATTAAACTACTACTACTGAATGTAATCATTAGTTATTATTAAGCTCTTGCTCTTTCACAGTGCATCTTTTGTCCCATCTTCCACCCTTCACCCCTAAATAGTCACGTAGTTGACCGTTCCTCCTTGAGCCTGATTGTTGGGGTTCTCTCTGTTATTGTTCAGTGTATTGTAAGGTATGTAAGCCATATGCCTTACAATATAAAGAGCTTTGAGGAGACTGTTGCTGTGATTTGGCGCTATATAAATAAAAATGAATTGAGGAGCCTTGATGACCACTGCCTGCTTCCTCTTCATGTTTATGGGGGAGGAGCCACATTTATCTGTCTAAAGCCAGTTAAGGACAGATAAAGTTTCAGTAAGTTTCAGAATTCTTTGATTTTTACACTGTGTTGTCCTGTTGATGTTTGTCCTCCAGTGTATTTTGGCAGCTTTTTTGTTGGCAGACTATCCAATGAATTTGTGGGGAAACATGGTAAATATTCTGTAAATACTTTGGTACTGATCAGCAGCAATTTAAATTACGTGCACTCTTCTCCTTTAAGCAGAAATGGAAGAGTCTGTGTAATGTACGTACCTTGTTTTTGTCAAAGAAGCCCAATCTGTAGCCGTGTTCAAACTGGACATCTTTTATCGTGTCCTTCTTTTGATCCTCCTCTTCTCCTCCCTCTCTGCTTGGATACTCTAACCTGGTGGCAACTGGAAGGTTATCTGCAATACTGCAATCACACAAAAGAAGGGATTTAAAAACAACAAAATAGATGCTTTAGAAGCAAGTCAGCCCAGAGATATAAAGCCTATCAAACCGGACAAGCATTTAAATGAATTCAGCCTGCTGAAAGCAGTAAGAAGGGACGCTCACAGGTGAACATAATACTCCTCCTGGATTCGCTCAGCCATCAGCTTACTCTCGTCTATGTTGAGCTTTCTCTTTTCACACACCAGCTCACATTTCTTGTCTTTACTCATCTCCACGTTATAAAGGGTGTTTACAATACGGTCTCCACGTAAGACCTCACCTATAAACAACAAGGAAACCACACACACACACGCAAAAAAAACCCAAAAAAACAAAACAAAAAAATCACAAATATATTTATAGATATATATGATAAAAATTTAAACAATTTTAAACTTATCACATAAGCAGCAGTGCACTCACCCAGGTTCTCTCCCTTGTAGAAGACCTTTTTTGGTTTACAGAATGGCAGGGAATAGTATTCATAAGGAAGCTGGGTACGGGAGCTGGTCAGCTTTACCGCCTGAAAAACAAAAGGATCTCTTTCCAGTGTTTGCACCATCATTGTTTTATCTTTGACGATGAGAGAGACAAGCATCAGCAAATTTGTCAGAGTACAATAGGGTGAGAACACCCCAAACTGGCTCCCGTTCTCCCATTCCTGGGAGAACTGTATGTCAAAGATTTTAACACTCAGTTTCATCTTTTTGTATGTTAGAACTTCACCCTTCTCTGTGGCTTGGTGGCAGACCAATGACCGCACAAGCAACAGTGAGCCACAGACTGGGGACTGAGTTTGAGAACCAGTGCTCTAATAACCATCCTGGGTGCTCTGGCTCAGAAGTAATGGCTTATGGTCAGACTATCTCACATCTTCAAACTGTGAGGGCAAGGTTTGCTGGATTAAAGTGCTCACTTGGAGAAAAGCACATGGTGTGAATTTTTGAGTGAAAAGACACATTTTTAACATCACTCAGATAGCAAGCTGTGCAAAGTAAAGACTCTTCAGTTGATCAAAGTATGCTAAACGCACCAGCCAGACTTTGCTGAAGCTTACAATTATTCCCAAACATCAAATATTCTGCCTCCCATTTCCTGCTACAGAACCCAAAATCTAATAAACACAAGATTTTAGAGTGAAATATTTCAAGGGGTCTGTAATCAAAGCCATGTTTAGAAGCCATGGTGTGTAGCCATTTTCACTAATTTAATAGAGTCAAAATATTTTTTTCAGTTCTTGTCGTAGATACTTATTAGCAACTCTGCCATCTAGAAGTATCACGTCTACCCCTTTAAATGAATGAAAACAAATTTACAGACAGTACTGTTCTGCAGCAGACCTGTGGCAGTTGCTCTCCCACTGCTCACTCTCTGTGTGCAGTTACTGCACCCACACAGAGGTTGTGTAGTTCAAAAGATATTTAACTTTCTGTTGCTTCAAACTTTCTACTCTTTAGATAAAGAAAAAACAACCAACCAAACAAAAAAAAACAAAAAACACTGTCTGGTGATGTTGCCAGATGATGCAATTATTTTTAAAACGAAAGAGTTCACCCTGTCATCTTGTCCACCTGACCCTCCGCTCACTCACTGCAGTGATCATTTTGTGTCATTTCACCTCATCATTGCTAATTATCGCCTTTATCGCCTAAAACTAGGGACTTTTCAAACCCTTGTAAGCAGCTAGTGATAAATGAGTGACAACTCCCTCTGTGATGAGTTGAACGTAGCTTTCCCCCCTGAGTGCTCATAGTACAGCCGATATGTTTAGCAGTGAATTTTCATCTTACCTTGATATCTACAACGTCGCCATCATGGAAATTCCGTGGAGCTACTCCAGGAACATAGAAGGACCGGCTCACAGGCAGCAGGGACAACAGCAAAAAGGCCCACCACCTCACCTGCAGAGCGGACACACGTTAGATTTGACAATGAATTCCATGCGTGTCTCTGTTGTACTGTGTGCTGACAGTGGAATGAAAGTTGAGAAGCAAGTTCCGGCAGCTTGATAATGCCTCTGGGCACGATTTTGGAAACCTTCTACAAACCCAAATGTGACCAAAAAAAAGACACTGCTTAAAAAAAATACGTGAACTATTTTTTTTAAATAGTAGAATATGCATAAAATGTTCTAAAAAACGTATCTGTTAAAGAAAAATATAAACTCTTTGAATTTGACTGGAGCAACACGTCACAAACTTGGGAAAGACTGGAAAAGTAAGTGTTACTAAAAACAAACAGCAGGAGAAACATTTAGAATGTATTAGGTTAACTGGCAACAAACCAGAAAGATGACTGGATATAAAAAGAGCATCTCAGTAAGGCATAGTCCCTTAGAAGGTGTGCAGAGGTTCACCAACCTGCAAAAAATCTACATCTACAAATATCATAATAAGGCTGCTCAATGTAAAATTACAAAGACTTTGAATGTCTCATAGTCTACACTACATGATATGAAAAGATTCCACGAATCTGGAGAAATTGCTGTGAACAAGAGTCAAGGCTGAAAATTAAAACTGAATTCCACATCATGCTGTATCAGTGACAACAGCACGGCTTTGCAGTAAAATTCCAGTTGCTGAACTGGCCTGCCTGCAGTACAAACTGTTTATAAAACAAAAACAATATGACAAAAAAGTCCAAGACTGCTGGGCAGCTACAATTTGACAAAACGGGACAAAATTCCTACATTCAAACTCCAGACATTTACAGACTGTTACACAGGAGTAAACATGGCCCCGTTCCAACTTTTCTTTGATGTGCTGCTGTCATCAAATTCAAAATGAGCTAATATTGCTCTTCAACACACAGATCTGACTTATTTTTTATGTTCAGTTGTGATTAAAAAATGGCTTTATGGCAGATCACTTTGGTTATTTCTTACTTATAGCTCTTGATCAATATGACACCTAAACTAAGGCATTATTAAAAATACTGTTTAGTTTATCTTCTAGGAAGCCTGTCTTAAATTTCTGACAGTATTGCATCTCCTGGATGAGGTAGATAAGGTGCATGAGTTTTTGTAAATGTGTATCCACAATAAAGAAAAGCCAGTATATCAACATTCTCAGAACTGAGGCTTGGCCTGTGCATTGATATGTATCCTACTGCAAAAAGCAGACAATTATATTTTAAATATTAATTTAATTTAATATAATATTTTACATAGATTTTATGCCTACTTTGTAGGGTTGCACGATTTTGCATAAAATGAGAATAACGATTTTTTGGCTTAGAATTGAGATCACGATTCTCTCACGATTTTCTTTTCCAGTATAAATATTTATTGCACTTATTAACTGCACATCAACTTCGTAACAGTTGAGATTGAACATAAAAACAATAAATAAACATAAAAACAACAAATGTCTCACATTTTGTTGTTGCAGCAAAATGTTGTACTGCTTGAAATTCCGTCTCCACCGTTGCTCGACACTGCGTGTATAGAGCAGGTAGTGCAACAATAGAAAAATAGTTGCAGGACGGCACTGTGTAGCGTTTGTCTAGGGTGTTGATCATTTTCCTAAATCCCTCGTTTTGCACAGTGTTGATGGGAGCCATATCTTTGGTCAGGTGATAAGTGATAGCCTCCGTAATTTCTTTGTGCCTGCAGGAGCTCGACGGGTATAGGGAAGCGCTGTATAAGGTTCCCGTTATTGATGTTTGCGTGGTTGACCGGGACGGATTTTCTCCCGTCACTTTCTCCTCATCCCTGACGTGCTCTCCGTTGTTTTTCCCCTGCTAATTTTAGCATCACACGGCACAGCTTCTGTATCACGTGGTATAAGGCTCCGCCCTTGTCATTTGTTGAGCAGGAAGAGTGAGCGCTTGTTTCCATGCAGATTACGTCCCGGATCAAAATGCGGTACAATCATTGTCGTCGTCTTTTTTTTTTTTTTTTAAATCGTTGTTATTTGGAAATGAGATCGCACATAAGTATGAATCGAGATCGCGATTTTCTAACGATTAATCGTGCAGCCCTACTACTTAGTTAACAGTACATCTGCATATTTTACAAACAGCAGTAGTTGAGAGCAGCAAGTTTGCGGTGGAGCTTGCTGAGCAGGTAGAGTGGTTCTTATGCAGCACTTTTCTACTCCCTACTAAAGCAAAGGGCTTTATATAACATGACTCATTCACCCATTTACACACATTCCCAAATTATTTCTGATGGATGCATCTGAGGACAACTTGGGGTTCCAAGAATGCCAGAGCAATTGGAGCAACCAGGGATCGAAATGCCAAACCTTCCAATTAAAAGATAACCTTCTCTACCTCCTGAGCAATAGAGATTGACAGACCACGTGACTTTCGCGCATTGCATGCCGGGAACTCGTGGCAAAACAATCCAAGTACCTGCATCAAATGCAAACGTTCATTCTTCGGTTCCAATAAATTCTTGCTTTTTCTTTGCCCCCCAAAAAGGTATGTACAAAACGAAGGAGAACAATGCCGGTCCGTACAAAGACAGACTTGATGAAAAGACAAAGAAAAGATACGAGGAAAAAAAATCAAACCAGTGAAAGGGTCAGACCCTTACGAGCACACAGAGGGACAAAATACGTTAGCGTGCTGCCCAACTTTCACCACGCTCAGATTTATAATTATACGCTTCTTGGAGTGAGTGCATACACTCGTGAAGTTTAGTAACTTCAGGTCACTGCAACAAGCCCAGGTACAGTTTACCGACGGATGGGTACAGGACCTTGAAATGCACCGTGTAGAAAGTAAAGACCATCGTACATATAAGTTTACCAGTCTCACAAATCATCTTCATAAATACACATTCGTTAACCGTTTATTAATATAACCTTTGAGCTCAACGGTAATTAATTAGTAGTGGAAATAATTTCTGGTAGTGTAACAGAAATGTAGCAGTGACAATAATACTGTATGCTGTAATCGTACTGGGCAATTAGTGATACAAAAAACCTGTTTTATCCTGTGAATAAAAGTATATGTTTTTGTCAGTGTACCATAATAACAGAAGCGAAACGCAATATTGTGTCAGGACAATTTACTATTTATGCACAATAAACAAAGGAGCATAGCGCCACAATTTCTGTTCAGCGCCAGACGTGCTTGTAACCTATATCACTAATTATGTTAAGAAAAATGACGCATTAACTACAACAGCAGACTGACCTTTGTAGAAATGCTTGGAGCAGACTAACCTGTGAGCTGGAGTGTTCTGGGACGTTATATTTGCTCTTTGAATGGCTGCAATCCAGTCGCCTCTTTGTTACTTCGGAAATATGGCTCGAACAATTTCTCTTCAACGACCTAATCCGATAACACCAGATCTCTTTACCCGTCGGCTTTCCGTGGCTGTCATGCGACCGGCTACTGCAGTTAATAATACAACAGCTTCTTGCCATTTTTTGGGTTTCTTTTTATCGCTGTATAACTAATTTCAATTGAAAGCCTACGTGCGCTAGTATCTCTTGCCACGAGTTCCCAGAATTCTTTGCGGTTTTACCCCTAAGTGACGTCACATTTTCAATCTCTATAGTCGCTGCAACTCTATTTTTGGTTGCAAATGTGGGTGACATGCTCACTTTTACACAGTGACAACTAAGCGCTACAGAATCGTATCGAGGCAAAAAAAAAAAAAGCTTCTAGTTATTTGAGTTTCTCCATTTCAAAGAACACCTTCCATACACCTTTACTACAATAATGAGAAAGGTCTGCCAACAGTTTAATCATTCATCAACTTCAACTGTGCGCATGTGTAAGTGAACCAAACAAAAGTCCTCTCAGTGCTTTTATTTTTTCATCTCATCATCTTAATCGTCATTAAGAAATAGAAGGGGGTCCCATCAGAGCAGTAAATATCATTTACATATTTTAAAAATAATCGATTACCTTGCATGTTTGAATAAATTGGCAAAGCTATGCAACAAAGATCCTCTGGAATATTCATCACAGTCTGAACTGTGAAAGGAACTTCAGTGCTCCTCAGCAGGGACACAGTCTGACTGTTGCATAGCTGATCCAAGCACTGGCATCTTTACAGTGGAGAACTCTCTCACATGACCACATGACATGACTCTAAGTGTTAACCTGACTATACCACCACATGTTCCTCACATGTAAGCTGCTCCAGGAGGGGACATGTTCAGATTTTTTGATTAAATCAGCTTTTTCAGAAATGCAGTCAGTTGAGCTGCATATTAATTATGCCACAGCACAAAAGTTATTCGTGCATATTCTCAACTTCCTCTTCATCTCGTTTGCATGAGAAGGTGCGCTCACTGAGAGCGCCCAAAGGCAAAACCAGCAGTAATGCAGTAAAAACTCAAACACTGAGCTGAAATGAGACTACCCAAAATAAAATAGGAGTTCTATGAATAGATCCCCCCCCCCCACCCCATCATTAGTAATATTTCATCATTAAATACTCATTCAGTAATACTAATACTCGCTGGGTTGTTTTTTTTTACAAAGTTAAGAAAGTGTAAGTTGAGGCTTGTGTTTTCTCAGACATCAAAAATGACTCCACTTCTCTTCCCAGTAGTGAGGAACACGGCTTACTACTTAATTCAAGGTATATTCTCAAGGCAGACATCAACTCTTTTAAAATATTCTTGCCTCCATCCAGTTTGCAGGACAACTGAAATCAATGTTCTCTAACAGTTGTTTTGAAATTTGTACAGAGATTTAAGATTGTCACTATGTGTAAATTCGATACGATCTTTACGTTTTAACAGAGAAGCCTGAGCTGACAAGAGTGCCTTTACTTACTGTAGTTAAGAAGACATTTTGCGGACATGCGCTAATTCTGATAGGCAAAACGTCCCGTTTTATTACTACATGTTAAAAAATGAACTGAAATGATTCAACACTGAAAAAACATTTGTATTAGCATTAAGCATAAAGAAGTGATCGAAGTTACCAACCACGAATCCTGAAACAAGACTGCATTTATGTTATCATGCGCTACCAACCCGATTTACGTTAAGTTTATACTTTGTAGCTGTTCCTGAGCGGTCATTTTACCATCTCTTTTAGGACTGTAACACACGCCGACACAGCGCTAACAGCTAACATTTCCCTAAAGATTGCAAAACCTGTTTATTTTGACAGTGCATCACATGACAGCCTGAAAGCCCAGCGTTTCACAGTTCATACTCTGTCAGGGCAATTTTATATATTCCACACAAATGACACGAATCTGTTTTAAAGAGTCACCGCTTACTGACAACCAGGCTAGGTAGCTAGCTAACTCGTTTAGCAGGATCGTGAACATTCAAATAGCAGCGAATTCCAATGAAGTTTAGTCTAGTTAACATTAAATAGCACTTGATCGGTCTACTTAAGACCTACACTTTCCCACGACTTCAGTGCGATGTCCGACATAATTTGGAATGAAAGAAAGAGCAATGTACTGTTTAAAGCAAAAAGAGTTCGCTTTATTTCCACTTACCATAGCCGCGGCCGCCATTTTGAATACGTGTCATTACTGACGTTGCGGAAGTAGACTAAAGTGGTTTTTCTCTGGCATGTTTCCTGTTGTGTTTAATGAGAGGTGCAGTGAAAAATGCTCCATTACAAGTTAAAATCCCCCCTTTAAAAATAATATTTAGCTATAATTAGGTAAACATAATTAGGAAAATATTATTTTAAATAGTCCTCACCAGACTACAGAAAACTGTATAGCTATTAGCTATTAACTATAATAACATTTTACTTTTTATTTATTTTAGGTTAAGTTCAACTTGAGATATATATATGTATCGCCCCTGCAGGCAGTCTATCCTTCAAGCTTGGGTCCTCTTCCAGAGGCCTGGGAGCTTGAGGGTCCTGCGCAGTATCTTAGCTGTTCCTAGGACAAAACAGCAAAACAGCTGCTTTGATCTCATCCCTTCCTTTCTACGGATCATATTGTCTGTTGCAAACATCATGGTCCACAGAGCTTCTGCCTGACCTCATCAGTTAATCAGTCCCACCCCCACCTTGGAACCATCAGTCACTCCTATCCAGCACCTCACCACTGTCTCTCCGTCCACATATATGTCCTGCACCCCCTTACATATTTCTCTGCTGCTCCTGACTTCCCCATGCACTACCACAGTTCCCCTCTTACCACACTATCATATTCTTTATCTAGATTCACAAAGACACAGTACAATTCATTCTGACATGAGTCAGAATGAGTAGGTACTTCTCTATCAACACCTTCAAATCAAACAACACATCCATTGTGCTCTATTGCTGTCATATTGCTGCTCTCTGATTGTGACACTATCATATAGAGATGGACATGCAACCTAATTAAACATTATATAATACTGTAAGGCATTGCTGTAACAATGCCATGGCAAGAGCAACCATAAAGAGAACAGAAACCACAATGAGCCCATTCATTCATAAGTCATTCATAAGTCCCTGTTAATTCTCCTACCTACCTTACAAACTCCATTGGTAAATAGTGTTTATCATTATGTTTAAACAAACTTAACGACTGATGCCAGTCATTGAAAATAAAGAGGACTTATCCGTCTGCAAGTGAAAAAAAGAGGAAAAAATTGGAAGATGAGAAAAAAAAAGCAAGACGGTGGTGAGTGGAGTAGACAGTAATGATAAAAGTATAACTAAAGTATAACTAAATGCTGCCATAACATAACTTTCACCAGAATTGTTGGGTCTGCGCTTCACAGGTCCCGCTGGTTTAGAGACTTATTCCCGTTAACGAAGCAAGACGAACAGCTCAACCGGTTTTTTACATGCTAGCATGGGAAGGATCTCAGAGCAGCCCTTCTGTCCTCGGTCTCTTCGAAGAACCACCTTCCCCTGCAGCCTTTTATTTTGTGACACACAGTTTACACAAACACCCATTGTAACCCCCCCTATGGTGTATCATAAACCCTAAGGCACTGAGTGTGTATGTGTTTGTAAGTGTGTGTGTGTGTGTATGTGTATTCATGTGCACGTGAGTGTGTGTGTGTTTGTGTTTGGGGGTGCATTTGTGTGACCTCCTGCTCACCAAAATGGTCATAAAGGCAGGAAGTTTACTAAACAAGAAAACAGAACCCTCACATAGGATGTGCCTATCCGGTTGTTCAGTCTGACGTCACTAGCCGTGTCTGGGTCTAAACTCCACTGCAGGTCCATATATCAAACGATCACTATGGCATTACTGAGAGTTGAAAAACTGTCTAAAGTCTTTCATCTTTAATAAAATGATCAGCGTTCTGCTCTACCAGGTGTAACAATTAAGTTTAACATCCAGGCATCCATGAAAACGGAATTTATGACATTTAACGGCGTTAGAAGTTAGCAGGGAGTTAGCTTGCTAGCTTCTATCTAAATACAATATAGCATGTCCTGACTGCGGGGTTTTGGAAACAAATTAAAACGTACAGCTCTGTTATCACTTCCAGCATAAATGAAGACAGAAAACTAAAAAGCAGTGACGTTTGTAGGGTTACTGAAGTTGGGCTAGCTGGTATATAATGATGTGCTACGTGACCGCTAGCGACACAGCTATGCGCTATTATGAACAAGTTAGCTTGTTCATAATATAAACAAGCTAACTTTTTTTCCACTCGATAAAAGTTAACGTGAGTGTTCTCGGTGGTCAGGAACAAATGTAATCGCATGGCAGGATGCTGTAAAAGGACCAAACTTCAGCCGGGAGAACAACTGAGATAATCCAGCCACAATATGAGGTTAGTCATTCATATACTGCTGCATGGGCTGGGCTGTAGTTACATCCTAAGGTTTTAAAAACTGAGCTTAAATAAATGATTAGTGGTAATAAAAGCCGAGGGAGGTCAACAGTGATCACTGACTGTTTTAGGAGCTTTTTGAGATTAAATAGAAGAAAATACATAACATTAAACATGTTAACAACACAAAAGCCATATTAAACGCAGACTACTTTAGGCCAGGAAGTAGGATTCGTCGTGTCATCACTGAACAACCGGATAATAAAACACAACACTACATTTAACAATTTGACTCCAACAAGCATCACATTATTTTTTGTTTACTTTGACATTTACCATTAGTTAGCAGAGCTGCCTCGTACATTCATGTCTTCTGGCTGTGATGTGATGAAATTGAGTGATGGGGCTTGGAATCAGAGTTAGGACAGTTTATGGAAGCTGTTACATTGCTTCAATAAAACAAAAACTAAAGTGTAAACGCTGCATAGTGAACGCTGTGCCCGAGAAGAACATTCAGAAGTTGAATTTGAAGAATTGTAAATCTGTAATGTGAACTTGTTGTTAATATGTTACTGTTATAAGCAGTGTTGGTCAAGTTACTTGAAAATAGTAGTTACTAATTACTGATTACTTCTTCAAGAAAGTAATCCTGTTACTTTACTGACTACTTATTTTTTTAAAGTAATTAGTTACTTTATTACTTAGTTACTTTAAAAAACAATATACAATATACAACCTGATTACGTTATAAAGAAATAGACCTTTCAGTCCATTTCTACTTTTTCTGCACAATCCATCATATAAAATTGAATCAAATGAAAAAGTCTTTTTTTTAAATTGTTTTATGAGCTTTAATCTTTTAACTTAATGCACATTGTGTCAAGCAAAAATGAAATCATATGCAACTGTCTTTGACTTGAAGAAATTATTTTACATTTAAACCTATTTTCTGCATATTCCAGAATATAAAATAAAATTATTTTTTTCTGTTTACACGCACTCTTTCAAATAGATGCAAGTAAAACACAGCAATAAATAAATAAAATCAAAGATTCAGCAGCACTAAGTCCTGTTGCTCTTTAATCTATTTTCACCTGTTTAGCAGGAGTGGGGCAGGTGGAGGTTTGTCCGGTGCCGCAGCCCTTATGTCAGTGGGGGGATCCGGGGGTTTCTGTGAATTTCACATTCCCATGGCAGCGTGCTCGGTGCTTGCTCAGATTTAAAGTTTAATTTTTCTCTGTAGAAAGAAGTTTTCTTCCCATGCAAAGTATACAACGGACCCAAATGTTTTTGTCACTTTTTACAAAATCAAACTCAAAGTAATGTCACTACTTCTAAACTTTAAACACTACATGGTCGTACTCTCTCCCGCACTCCATATTATCCATTGTTGATGTGCACACGTCTGTTGCTACAACACATGTTGCATGCTCATACATTATTGTCATGAGACACTGTCACAAACAAAATCATGGTTTAGTGACGCAGTAACACAGCTTGAACTCTCTCAGACAAGTATTCTGATCACTTCTTCTGATACCTTATTATTCTAACAGAGCCTGTAGTTTGACCTTTCAGCTATCAGGTCCTATATTATGGAACCAGCCACCAGTTGGGATTCCTTTATCTAGGGATTGAGAGTAACGCAATTTCTATTCTCTGTATGTCCTGTACATGTGGCAGAATCGACAAATAAAGTTGACTTTGACTTTGACTTTGACTTTGACTTTTATACCGTGTGTTTATTTTCCTTTCTCTTCTTGCTCCCTTTCTATCTCCTCACCCCCAACCAGTCACAGTGGATGGCTGCGTCTCCCTTGAGCCTGGTTCTGCTGAAGGTTTCTTCCTGTTAAAAGGGAGATTTTCCTCCCATCGTCAAGTGCTTGCTCTTAGAGGGTCGTCTGATTGTTGGGGTTTCTTTCTAATATTGTATGGTCACCTTGAGGTTTTTGATATAAATAAACATGTTCTTCTCATAACTATACACTCATTATTATGTATTTAGATATTCTAATAGACTGAAGTTACCTATTTATGACCATTCAAAATTTGAATATTTGTATTTTCAGCATTTCTTTCTCATTATAGCTTTTGCCTCCTCCACCACCACTGCTCTCTCTTTCCTCATTCTCATCTCATCTTCTAGCTCCTCACCTCAAGGCTCATATTATGAACTCAATTCAGGGCTCTAACACACAAAAACATGGACATATATGCTTATTTATTCACAATACTTTCATACTCATTGTCATCAGATTAGACATGACACCCTTTCCTCTCTGGGCAGCTGACAACAAGCTAGATAATAGTGATGTGTCGGTCACGAACGAAACGGCTCTTAGTGCCGGATCTTTGAAGTGAACGACGCGAGCTGGCTCCTTGTTGGGAGCCGTGGTTTTTTTTTTCTTTCTCTCACCCTCTCTCTCGCACTCTTTTTCCGCTTCATTCCGCACGCAAGCCTTGTGCTTTGTACTGAGAAGAGGGGGGGAGGGGCGGTAGTTACACTAGCAGTAGCACAGGAACAGAGACGGAGGGAAAGAGGGAGAAAGAAAGCCAGGGACAACAACGTCACATTAGAAAGGTATAGTAATCATCCACAACTATTTTCAGTTGCAGATGATAAAGGAGTCAGAAAGTTTATTCATGCAGGCCCATATGACAGAGAATGTGCATCTTCTTTTTGTTTTCATATTTTTTCATATTTATATTTAATTGTGTTGTGGTTTGCAGTGTTTTGTGTTGTTCCACTTTAAATTTGTTTAAAAGGAAAAAGCTGAAAATGTAAATAGTTAAAAGTTGAAA